GCGGGCCCCCCGCGTTTCCTGCCTTGGGGGTCTCGGCCTAGCCACACTGCCTGGACCAGCACATACCGCTGTGCCACGCATGGCGCCGCCCTCCCACCCTCCCTGCAGCAGCTGCTCACCCCCCAGCTGCTCAGCACCAGGGCCTGAAAGAGGAACTCCATGAGCAGGGGAGAAGTAGCGGACTCTTGTCCTATATCCAGGCTGCAGCTGCTGAGCTCACACAATGCTCTGGCAGAGAGCCCCTGTCTCCCTTGCTTATCGGATTATGGTCAAACCCGGCTAACTGCCAGTTTTCCAAGGAAATCCAAACCATCTTATCACCCCAACTATTCATTGTTTTCCTTGTAAAACAAATACACCAATGATCATCTTTCACCCCAAATCAGCAGCTTTGTATGTCTTTACCTTGTACCAGACCCACATCCTTCGCCATATGCCACTGGTGTCACTCATAAGCCCTACATAATGTGAAATGCTACTGTGCCATCACAGAATGTATGGTGTATATCCTCCCAAGTTAGGAAAAGGTTTTGTTGGGATGTATTGTGAATAATTGTTGCATTCTAGAAGGCATGGTCTGGCAGGAGGAAGAAGAAATGTAAAAAGACCTGTGTTAGGGGATAGTTTTGAGATATATAGAGACATTGCTTAAAAAGGAGGGCCCCAATCACGAGGAGAGGCCAGTAACGGGTACAGTCCTTGAAATGAGGCAAAGTTTCAGAGTCTCCGAAAAGGAAAGGGTTGAAGACACTTGTTATACACCACCACCCTCTACTGGATACCATTGAAAGCAGCAATGAAACAAAACAAACCAAAGCCTCTGCTTGGTGATTCTCTCTTTCCTGTGTGGCTTTATGAGAGGCAACCTCATTCCAGCCATTGCTCTGTTCCACCAGGGAGGTGGGGCTGGGGAGGAGAGGTGCAATATCCAGGCTGCCCCTGGGAGAGGACAACCCCAGCCCTCTCTCACCGCAGCAGTTTGAGGCCAGGTCAAAAGCTCCTTTCCATTGCTGCTGCACTGGGCACAGCCAGGGAGGGGAGCATGTCCTGGGGGACAGACAGACACACACAGCAAACAGGCATACAAACAGACAAACTCTCTGAAATACATAGTAGAGAGCTGTCCCTTTCTCCACCCCTGCTCCCTGCTGGCCCCTTGGGGTTATGGCTGTCCTGATCCCCATGTCTGGCCCCTTGCTGCCCCCCTGTGGTCATTCTGCAGTATATCTGTTCCCCCCACCAGACCCCCTCTGTGACGGGGCGCCGGTTCCGACCACCCCAGAACCGGGGATGCCCTGCACTCCAGATCTTGCGAGGGGCAAAAGGGATGCTGGCAGGACCACCACGGCGCTTGCCACGGCGTTCGCCATCTCTGGGAGTCGGAGATGCAGCTGCCCGCGGGTGGCAGCCCGAGTCACGTGCCCCGCGTGTACGGGGCCAGCTGGGGGCATAGACGTCACCCAGAGGGGATTCCCCTTCCCGGGTGATGTCATCAGAGGGCGCGCAGGCGAATGGGCAGGGCCGTGGAAGGCGGGCCCTTCAAAAGAGGCCAGAGAGAGCAGAGGGGGGGAGGACGCTCCAGCTGGGGGAAAGGAGCCCGGTACGGAGCCGCGATCAACGACCGGCAAGACGGAGCAGCGGAGCACCAAGAAGGCGAGCTCAGCGAGGAGGAGGAAGTGACCCAGGATGGGGACGGCAGGCAGCGGCTACGTCTTAACTAGATCCCAAGGGTTGGTGTGTTATGGGGGAGTCCCCACCAACCAGGCAGCGAGCTAACGCTGCTGCCTTTAGGGTCCTGGGTCGGGACTTGGAGTAAGGGTGGGCCCAAGTCCCCCTCCTCCATCGCGGGTGCCGTATAGCACTCAGGAAGACCAAAGCTTAGGAGGCTCTGGACCGGGCCTCGGACCTTTTTGCTTTGGAGAGGATGAAGCTGGGGGAGCACATTGGGGCACAGGTGGTGGGAGAAAGGACAAAAATCGGGAGACATTGGCGGGTGGCCCCGATGATGACAGGGCTGTAGGCCTGAGGGGCAACCTGGCCCGCGACACCCTCCCTTTCTATTTCATGAGAAACAATCAAATTCCAGACCCATTCCATTGTCTCAGCACAACCAATCTCTGACCTTGCTTTAAGAAGCTGCCTACCGAATTGGTGGTCTTAGCGCTTACTGTTTAGGAGGAGTCCTGGAACAAACAGACTCACAGATGGATAGACCGACACACGCACCTTTCTAAAATGTGCAGTAAGATCTACTCCTAAACAGAGTTCAGGCATTTGATCAGATCTGGTTGTTGCACTTGCATTTAAATGGTTCAAATGCCAAGGGAAGGCAGTTGATAGGAATCATCGTGGAGTCTCTGATAATCATGCAACAGCCACACAGCTGTGACTCGTTTAAAGGACGGGAAATGAGATCCAGCTTAGGTTGCACTGATTGAAAATTCCATGGCTCAAAGCTAAGCCTGAGTCAAATCAACATCTAAATTACAAGGCCTTGAGGTATTACGTAAAGCTCTCTCTACTGAAAAGCAGAGAGGGGTCTTATTTCCAGGTGCTGGGTGTTCTGACATGACCACACCCGTACTTATCCTCCAGTCTCTATGCTGAAGAATTGCAGTGGGGCAGAGTCACTTGGGCCAGAGCAGCTCTTTAACCCCATCTTTCCCGGGGTGTGGTCTGGATAATCCATCCCAGTCATATACAAACAGTGCTTGTTAGGAAGGTGGTGTGTGGAGGCTGTTACACCGCTGTGCAAAAGAAGGTAGCACAACAGTCCAATTTCTTTGAGCATTACCACTTGATTGATGTTCCTGGTTTGTGTGTGATCAGAGCTTTCACCCCATTTAACAAAGTCCTCAGAAACCAGTGTCCTGGGCCAGGTAAAGAAGCTCACTCTGTAAATGCTAAGGGGAGAGATCTGAGCTAAGGTTCCCTTGGCAGAATGGTTCTCTACATAAATTGCTCACCATTGTAGTGATTTCCTTGTCTCTGAGTCTCACATGGCAAGGAATTGCAAACCTCTTACCCTGAAAATGAGTTTGGGGGCACTGCTACACTGACCTGCCTATTGCTCCCTTAACTGGTTCTTCCGGAGGTCAAAGTTCCTGGGAAACATTACAGAAGGGCCTGTGTCCTTTAAAGTAATCAAAACAGACAGTCATCTTTCCAAAACAAGGTATCTTTTCATGGAAGTAACTAATAATCCCCGTGACAGTGTATCCTAAAAATCCTAAATAAAGCACAAAATCCCTGAGTCACAAATCCCTTATTGCAATTTACAGAGCGTTTACACTGCAGTGGCATGTAATTCAAATGCTACTAAGTGAAACAATTTGTTGCTTTCAAGCAACCAGTTGGAAACAAATTGCTGACTGCAGCTCTTATAATTGCTTTAAAGTTTACACAGATAAAATACAATTAAACACATAGATGCAATACGATAAGAAGTAAACTAGACTTCCATTAAAACTATAACCCCAAGAATGCTAAGGTTACTCGATCAATGGGTTGCTGTTTTCTTTAAAAAGAAAAATGTCAGGTCAATGCTACTGCTGTCCAGCTCCGGGTCAGTCACCTCTCCAGTTTCTCTCCCCATCCCCCCTCAGCAGTTTTTCTTTGGCTTCTCTTGCTGGCCTCCTGGTTCTTCCTGCGTGGCTCTCTGCTTCTGAGATGCAGCTTCTGGATTTGGCGAATGCTGCTAGCCTTTGGCCTTTTATGCTACACTGTAGCTCTTTGTTCATGTAGCGTCCTATTGTTAGCTACACTTACCTCCGGCTTGTCCATTACTCCAGAATTCTGATTGACAGGTCTGGCCTTTAAACCAGCCCCGACCGGTATGAGCAGGTTTTGACCAGCTACAGGCTGAGCTGACTGACCTCTCTGTGACCCCTACCTGCACCTGCTCAGTTCTTGACAATCTTGCACAATCTCCCTGATGTCTTTGACCTCAGAGCTGTGATTCTGACGAGCCACAACCACACCCACTTGGCTTAGAAAAAGCCTAACTTCTTACAGAGGGTGTCCGGCTCCCATAGCCTTTATCTCAGAGGGGAGCGATTTCTGCTTCTTCAGAACAGAGGTGAGAGATGCAAAGTAAACCCCCCTCTCCCAGGCCAAGCTCAGTCTTGTGATTCATAAGACAGGTCATTGTCCTCGCTCCAGTGCTTGCCTGTCCTTTTCTTCCTGTTCCTCTCCGCCATCACAATGGCGGCCACCACAGTGATGAACACGGTAAAGGTAATGACAAGAACCGTCACAGTCTCCGCAATGCAGAGCTGGGTGTCTACCGCCACCAGGGACAGGTTTCTCAGGACTTGCGGCTCCATGCAGGTCAGGTTGTCATAGTCATCCAAGATCAGCCGCCTGACGCTGTGCAGCTTTGCAAAGACCCTCTGCAGGTCACAGTCGCAGAACCATGGGTTGGAGGAGAGCAAGATGTGTGTCCCAGGGGTCTGGAGGGAAAGGAAGGTTTTGAATCGGACGTGCTCAATTTCATTGTGCACCAAGTCAAGCACGGTTAGACTGTTCAAGGGGGTGAAGACCTCAGAAGCAATCGTCTTTATCCTGTTGCCTTCCAAGTTCAGGACCTCCAAACGCTGCAGCATGGAGAAGACGCCGTTGTGGAGGTTCAAGAGGTGATTGTTTTGAAGGTGAAGCTGCCTCAAGCGGGTGAGACTCCGGAAGGCTCCCATTTCTATGGAGGAGATGTTGTTGTTTTGGATGCTGAGCTTCTGGAGGTTCTCAAAATGCTGCAGGCTCTTGTAATGGAGTTCCTGGAGCCGATTGTAGGACAAGTTGAGCTCCTGGAGAGAAGCGAGTCCTGTGGAAAAACTGCTTCCAAGCACCGTGATCTCGTTTCCGTGCAGATCAAGCTTCTGGAGGCTCTCCAGAGCACTGAATGCTTCCTCTCCAGCATGGGTGATGCGGTTCCCACTCAGCAGCAGCACCTGCAGCTTCCACAGGGACCTCAGACCTTTGCTTGGGACAGAATCCAAGTTACTGAGGGACAAATCCAAGTGCTCCGTCTCGGCAGGAAAGATGATGCCGTCAGTCACATTGACTCCTGAGCAGTTCACAAATTTGGCCCCTTCTTTGCAGAGGCAGATTTTCTGACATGGGTTCTGAAAGTCGGTGTTGCCAAAGGAGAAGTGAATCCAAATCCAAAGTAAGTAGTGGGCATGCATCTTCCACTGCTTTGCATGCACTTTGGTGTATCTGTACAAGAGGAATAAAAGTTGTCAGAGTGTCTTACAGCTATATCTAGCATAAAGAATAAAGAAAAGTTATTTATTAGTTCCCATAATAGAAGAACTAGAGGACACCGAATGAAATTAATGGGTAAGAGGTTTAAATCTAATAAAAAAAAGTTCTTCACACAGCGCATAGTCAACCTGTGGAACTCCTTGCCAGAGGAGTGTGAGGCTAGGACTATAACAAGTTTAAAGAGAAGCTAGATAATTTCATGGTGGTTAGGTCCATAAAAGGCTATTATCCAGGGGTTGTCCCTGGCCTCTGTTTTTCAGGGGCTGGAGTGGGATGGCACGAGACAAATCGCTTGATCATTGTCTTCGGTCCACCCCCTCTGGAGAACCTGGCATTGGCCACTGTCGGCAGGCAGGCTACTGGACTAGATGGGCCTTTGGTCTGACCCACCATGGCCATTCTTATGTTATTGGGCATAATATAGGAAGAAAAGCACATATTTCAATGTTACGGCTTCTACTCGGCTTCTCTTGCCTTTCCTAAGATAAAACTATGACATCTCTGCCACACGATGTATACACTCTGTTCTACCATGGCCATGCCAGGGTTATCAGACTGTCCAGCTATCTCCACAGCCACAGTTAATTGCTGGGCCAGCGAAAGATGGGCAATAAGGCAGCCAGAATACTACAGACCAGTCTTGTGTGCCGGGAAAGATAATGGAGCAAATAATTAAGGAATCCATTTTCAAACATCTGGAAGCTAATAAGGTGATAAGTAACAGTCGGCATGGGTTTGTTAAGTACAGATCATGTCAAACCAAGCTGATCCTTCCTTTGGTAAGATAACAAGTCTTGCAGATAATTCTGCGGAGGGTTTTGTTTGGAACCATGAAAGTTCCCTTTACATGGAAGAAGCTATAAAAGGGGGAGTGATATCACCGCTCACTCCCTTCACAGCTCAACACATGGAATGATGTCTGGAAAACAAAGTGCTAGGGCTAGGGAGATGGTCCAGATGGGAAAAAAGGAATCCCATGGAAAGTCGGTGAACTGTTTGTACCGTCGGGTTGAGACACTGCTTGTTCCACATGCTCTTTAGTTTGCAGAGCTTAGATTGTGATTTTGTTTCCTTTCTTAGGAAAGTAACTTTGTTCTGCACACTTATTTCTTATTAATCAATTAAAATCCATCTGTCGGTAGTGAATAAAAATGTATTTTATATTTTTTTTACCCAAACCAGTGTGAGGATTGACATGCTAAGGGAACTCTTCTCCGGAAGAGGGACGGGTGCATGTCCTCTCCACATTGAGGGAGGGATGACACATTTACATTGACCAGGCTATTGATCAGGGCAGGACAGCTTTGGAGTCCTAGGAGAGAAAGCTGTGGGGATCTGGGTGAAACCTCTCTAATGTTGGTTCTTGAGCATCTGGTTAAAACATTTGTGTACCTGCCTGTGTGTGTCCCTGCTTGTGTGTGGCTGCGTACATGCAACACCTGAGGAGAACTGCTGCTTGTCATGGCCTCAGAGTGGGAGAGGGGACCCAGCGTGGTAGGATAGAGGGATCAGTGGTACCAAGTTCCAGGATGCGTCCTGGGGAGTATGTCACACCCACCCAGTTGAAGGGCCCTTAACACCGATGTAAAGGAGTCTTAGTGCAACTGAGATCAAATCCAGTGCTCAGCGATGGAGGATTTGCAAAGAGTCCAGACACTAACAATCTGATGAAGGGCTTGAGTCTCTGGATAGAATTTTCTCACTCAGTAGCAGAGAAGGCATATTTGGAAAGAAAGAGACAGATGTTAATGAAGGATTAGTACAATTAAGTCACTTTCATTCCCACTGCTGCAGCACCAGCATTTCGCACAGAGAGGTGTCTGTTGCGTTTAGCACTGAGAGCGGATGGGAGGCAAAGCTGTTAGTCTCTTTATCTTCTGTCTCTCAGCCAGCTGTCCTGGCAGAGTTAAATGTAGCCGAGATCAGTTGCAGGGAATAGTGTCAAAGGAAGGATATAGGAGGTCTCTCTCCTTAGCTGGGGAGATGCATTGTTTTCAGTAACAGCTCATCTTCATTTGTACTTTTCTGACAGCTGTTGTTGGCATTTAACTATGTGTTTATGGGAGTGTTCACAGTGTGGAAAGTGCTTTCCAGACGGGCGGTTGGAATAAGACAGTCACTTGCCCAAAAAAGCTCCCAGTATCACAAAACTAATGAGCTTTGTGCTATTTCTTTGGGCGTTGTTACACTGTAGAATAGTCCCCCAAAGAAACAGCACAAAGCTCATTACTTCAGCTATTTAAGACTTCCAAGAATAAGGCACTAAACATGTTCTGGAACCCAGGGGCACAGGAACGGGTATGGTAACCTCAGAGATATTAGAAATGAACACATCTCATTTGGTGATGATCTCGAGGAAAGCAGATGGGTTACGGAGACTTCTTGTCTAGTCCCCTAACAATGCGGCTGAAAATAAGAGAAATGCAAGCAGGCTCCGTCTTCCTCAAATGGCATCCCCGACTCCTTAAAACAATTCTACAGGCTGGTTTCCACTGACTTTCACGCTTTGTTTTTTAGCTGTTGGAATAAGTTGAAATGGTTTCCCTACCCCGTTATTATAGTAGCCCTTCTACAGCCTTCACTCTCTTCCATGAGAAAAGCCTGCTCAGCACAGAGCTAAAATCTGGAATGCCCTCATTAGTTTGAGCTGTATTTTAAAATTTCCCTCCCCCCCATAATTGTTTGGGCTCCAGATTGTAGTTTTTCAAACAGAAGCAGGAAGAATGAGGAGGGGTCACATTGGAACCTCTAACTCTGAAAGGGACAGTCTCCCGCTCTGGTCTATACAGCTCCTAGCACAGCAGGAACCTGTATAAATTGGCATGTTCTGTAATGCAAACGAGCATCGGCACAATAAAGGTCCTGCGAGTCCTGCCCTCATTGGACCTTGGCTTTCCAGGAAAGCATTGTATTTTCTCATGAAGCCAAATGACTCCCATTCCTCCCAGAGAATAACTCACCGGTGTAGACATACTAAATCAATCTGTGTTTGTACATTGTTCCCCCACCTCACCCCCTGCCAACATGCGTGGCTAGACATTACAAATAACTTTGCCATCAATAAAAGCACAAACACTCCTGTTGCCTTTCCAACGATTTCTGAGGATTACGGCACTTGAGAACCGCAATTAAATAATTCGCTCCTGATGGGCACCATCATAAAAATAACCTCCCCCTAGAGATAATACTCAGAGAGCTCACATCTCCTCCTCCAGGGGCTGCAATCTTTGCAGCGATGCGATGTGCTGCTGGAAATGCAAGGTGCCCTTACCGTTCCGCCGGCCCGATGCTCTGACTGCTGTGCCGCTGCCCAGTGTCTTTCATCCACAAGCGAGAGCGGATGGAAAAAACGGCAGGGGAAGTGTTGAGAGCCGCTGTGCTCACAGAGACCTGTTGAAGGGCAGGTGTGTGCGAGAAGGGGTGGGGCAGAAAGGAAAGTGTTAATAATTCAGACAGCTGGAGGCAGGAAACTCACCCAGTGGCGCTTACCACCTGCCTCTCCCTGCAAACAGCTTTCATCTCCTCGCCAAAGCAGGTGAGACCTGCGCAGACATACCCAGAGCTTGCAGAACTGTCCAGCCATCATCTCTGGCTCTTCCAGGTTAGGCTTTCTCCTAGCGTGTGTCCTGCAAGCAGCTCCGAGACGTCGACTGAATTCAAACAGCTACGTCGGTACCTTCCCTGCTTCCGCAAGAGGGTGACAGGTCTGAACACCAGGCGCGCACACACACATGCTTCCTGTGCCTCTGAAGTGTACTGCTCACACCTCTGTGTCGTATGAAGGCCCTGGCCCTGGCTCATTGACATCAAGGAGGGCTTTTCCATTGATTTCAATGACCTCTGGATCCGCTCACCAGTGCAGGAGTTGATTAGGGCATTAGTTAGATGGGTGGTTTTCAAATGATGGGTCACAGGTCAGTTGGGGGGGTGGAATGTTGGGCTCTGAGGCTTGTGGCTGGAGGGGATCAGGTGAGCCGTGGGGGGCTAAGGCAGCTCCCTGCCTGGCCTGCACCACAGACTGTGCTGCGCCCCAGCAGCAGTGGCAACAGGCCCGGCTCCTAGGTGAGGGGGAGCACACAGGGCTCCGTGCACTGCCCCCGCCCCCTCCACTAGCTCGGCACTCCCACTGGCTGGGAACCCCCCGCC